CCTATGGGAACATTCTAAAAGCCTCCTTCAGGTTTAAACTTCCATATGTTTAGAAATAGAGTAATTAAAGTTACCAAAATGCCCTCATCACCATGAAAATATTATCATAATACATAGTTTAAAATTTCAACTTTATCCTTTAATACTATGCTTTGCTTCCAACTTTCAAAAGGGTAATAATTCTTTCCATTCTTGTAAGAGGGATTAAGTTAAAGAAGCTGAATAAATTCTTTTTTGGGATATTTTAGTAAATGTACATTTGAATGAAATTGGTCAAGTGTAAATTTAGTATTTAAAAATTTAATGCATTGCTGAAGAGTTTGCACCTTTACGGTGACTAGTAAAAGTGCACGCGTATTGTACATGGCATTGTATATATTATTGTTCAACTCAAAGACCTAACTTCAAATGTTTTTATAGTTTCTACCAAAGTTTTCAACATGCGGTTGAACCATAGATTTGGATTTATTGGTTTGTCAATTGGACACATTTTTTTATTATGTTTTAACCTAAAACAATTTATTGCAAAAAAAAAAAAAACATCGAATTGGTCAAGAACCAAATGAGGTCATTACTGGTAGAACCACTAACATTTAACCAGGAAAATGGGCTATGGTTAATACATTAATTTGTTTTTTTTTTGTATTTTAGCTATTTCTAATTTTACTAACAATAATTCTCATTTTTTCAAATATTTTTTTGTTTAATATGAAGAATATATAATATTAATACATGTTCAAAAATTTCCATAAAATTTATAAAAAATTTTATATTTTTATTTTTTATTATTTATTCCTTAGTTATGGTCATAGATTGACCCATTTGACCTAGAAGATTAGATCGTTAACCTACCATCTAGATATGAAATTGGTTTCGTTTTTAGACTAGTTTTAAATTTTGCATTTAATTTATATCACTAATAAAATAATTATTATTCATCATACTTATTTTTTATTTATATGATTAATATATAATATTATAGATGTGCCAAAAATTGTTTCGTATTTTATGTATTATTCTATTTTAAAAATTTTATTTTTAATTGTACATCATGAGTTAACCCATTTGATCTGAAAGGTTGAACCACTAATCTGCCCCCTAGATAGGAAAATTGTTTCATTTCCCATTGGTTTTATGTTCTATAGTCTATGTCCATCATTAATAAAATTATGTCTATTTTATCATACTTATTTTTTTAATATGACAAATATATAATAATAGAAATGTGTCCAAATTTTTCAAAATTTCTTTTCTATATTTTTATATTTCTAAATTTTATTATTTATTTATGACATCATAGAATTGTCCATTTGACCCAAATTGTTGAACTACTTACTCACCACCTAGATGGAAAAATATGATTTCATTTCTAGGTTTATTTTAAAAAATATAAAATTTCATTATATTAATAACTATTGTGTATTGATTTATTAGTGGAATTTAATGATGAGAAGCAAAAGAATAAATGTTGTATTGAGAGAGAGAGAGAGAATGTGATTTATTTAATGACTTAAATGTGAGACTTGATGAGAGGTAATAATTGAATGCACTTAATAGTATTATTTTAATTGCATTTTCTACTTAAATCTTGTACTCCATTTCCATCATCAATAAAAGTAATTCTTATTTTCATATTTAATATTATGAATATATAGCATTAGAACTGTATCAAAATGCTTTATACAAAGCTTATATTTTTCTTTGAGATTATATATATTTTTTAATATTTATTACTTAGTTATAACATCATAGGTTGACCCACTTTACCTGGAAGATTAGATCATTGACCTACCATCTAGATATGGAAATGGTTTCATTTTCAGGCTAGTTTTAAAATTTGCATTTAATTTATATCACTAATAAAATAATTATTATTCATCATATTTATTTTTCTTTATATGATTAAAATATATATTATATATGTAGGGGTGAGCATTCGGTTTATTCAGTTAAAATGAAACCAAATAAATTGAAAATTTTTATAACCAAATCGAAACCGAATAATAAAAAAAACCAAAATTTTCGATTTGGCTTTTAGTTATTTCGATTAAAACCAATTTTTAATATACTATATTATATACATTATAACATATAATATATAATATATATTATGAAAGAAAATTTCATTATATTATATATTAATATATAAATAATATTATATATTATATATTATATATTGCATATGATATATAAAAGTCCAATTTATTTAGTTAACCGAATTTCTAATTCTAAAAACCGAATTAACCAAAACCCTAAAAAACAAACCAAAAATTTCAATTCGGTTTTAACCGAATTATGCTCACTCCTATAATAAATGTGCCCAATTTTTTTTTGTATTTTTTGTATTATTCTATTTTAAAATATTTATTTTTAACTATACGTCATGAGTTAACCCATTTGACCTGAAAGGTTGAACCAGTAACTAACCCCCTAGATAGGAAATTGTTTCATTTCCCACCAGTTTTAAGTTGTATATTCAGTGTCAATCATTCATATAATTATGTCTATCCTATCATACTTATTTTTTTAATATGACAAATATATAATAATATAATTGTGTCCAATTTTTTTTCAAAATTTCTATATTTTGTATATTTTGTATTTTTAAATTTTTATTATTTATTTATGACATCATGAAATTATCCATTTGGCCCAAATGGTTGAACTACTTACCCACCACCTATATGGAAAAATATGATTTTATTTCTAGGTTTATTTTAAAAATATCAAATTTCATTGTATTAATAATTATTGTGTATAGATATATTAGTTGAATTTAATAGTGAGAAACAAAAGTATTAATGTTGGATTCAATGAGAGAGGATGTGATTTATTTAATGAATTAAATGTGAGACTTAATGAGAAGTAATTGAGTGTATTTTATTGTATTATTTTAATTACATTTTATGTCCTTGCAATAGAGGAGAACCAAATTTAAGAGAAGGGGTATTTTAGTAAAAAAAAATCCAGAATCCAATACCTTATTCACACTTTTATAGGTAATATAAATATATAGATAAGGGCATTTTGGTAATCTACATGGGAAGTTTTTGTTACGTCAAAACAATAAAAAGGTTTATAAGATCAACATTGCTAAAATACCTAGGGGATGTTTTTATAAGTTTCCCTTCATTATTGATTTGAGATTGAGATCGGGTCCATCCTGGTTGACAACTTCACATACATTTTAGGAATACCCTAGGAAGTAGGGGTGTTTTTGAAAAACCGTGAAACTAGAAAACTGAGGCAAATCCGGTAATTTAATTCGAAAATCCAATTAACTGAAGTACTGAACCAACCTGGATGCCTCTTAAGAGACATTTATAATATATAAATATAAAAAGCAAAAAAGCAAAAAAAAGCAAACCGTTCAAACTGGTTAACAGATCAATTGGTCCGGTTGATTTTTGCTTCAATTTCGGTTTGAAATTTTAAAAAACCAATAGATTTGATTTGGTTATTCCTACATAAAAAATTAAATAATTAAGAAAATTAGTGCCACCAAATCAAACACTCACCAGAGCACTCTGGATCTCCTACTCACATTCTTACCCTTAAGAGTTAAGACACTACGATGTCGTATATTGGGAACATTTCTTGCATGAATGAGAAGAGAGAGATCAGAGATATTCACAATATGCACAATATGCACCTGATGTGTCCTGTGGGTAGCGATGTGGGAAGAGCTTATGGGTAAGAGATTCACGCTTTTACAAGAGCCATTGTTTTCTTTCTTATTCCTAGCCTCCTAGCGAGTTCACATATGCGCTCCACAATGCCCAACAACACATCACCACCTATTGGGAACATCTCCCCATGTCTCATTATCTCCCATACTTGTTATTGGGAGATGTTTCGGATAGAAGGTGAGGATGTGCCGTGGGAAATTGTGGGATGCAGATGTGAACTCCCTCCTAGCCAACTTTTGAGAGTGCTTAAACCCAAAATTTAGCTTATTTTTAAGTGCTTATTGAATAAGTTTATTGCTTTCTTGCTTGTCTTGGCCTATATCATTTTGAAAATACCTATATTCAAGGTTCAAAATATCATTATGTATTGGTCCGTACCGACCGATATGTAGCCGATATGTATCGTATCGTGGCCTTCTCAACACGCCCCTATAGGGGGTGTTTCGGGTCAGACCATGATTTAGAGGGTATGTATGTATGCATGTATGTATGTATGTGTGTGTGTGTGTGTGCGCATGCCGATATAGGCCAACCCCTTTGAACCTTGCCTATACTACCTACCTCTATTTGAAGCAAGTGATTTTTCACCAAATGCGCTTGAGCAATTGAGTATTTAGCAATTATTTTTAAGCATTTATTTTTTTTCAAACGAGCATAAAGCCATTATTTTCCTTGGCAATACCCTCTTTTTTTTAATAAATTTCGGAAACCTCCTCTGAAGTTTCTGGCACTGGCTGAAACCTCCCTTGAAGTTTAGTAATTGTAATCACATCTCCTTAACTTTCTGATAAAGTTGCAAGTAGACCCCTATGGTATAATTTTCTAAAAGAGTCGTTGAAATGTTCAAAAATATCCATACAATTACTATTGAGGCTGTTTTTTATTGCAAAAAAGAAAAACTTTATGAATAACAAAAACAAAAAGAATTTAAAGTTGTGCCTTCATCTTTGAGTGATTGATATTAAGGGCAAATTCTAAAAAAAAAAATCAATTTCAGAAAAGAGATTGAAAAGGTTTGGGATATTAATTTATGTGAAAAGAATACTTAGAAAACAAACATTTTTGTTAGAAGTAATGCATGGATATTTTTATACATTTTTTTAGAATATTCCAAGGGAGAAAATCTGCTTACAATTACGTCAAAACGTTTAGGGGAGGTAATTGAAATTATCAAACTTCAGGGTGGTTTTAACAATAACCAAAAACGTAAGGGGAGAGGTTTCAGCAATTTACCTTTTTTTTTAATTTTTCTTTGCGATTGAACGTTCAAGAAAGGGATGAATCATGTGAGCCGTGCAAAAACATCAAAGATGAAACAACGAAAAATTCGGCTAATATTTCGATCAACGGCAAGACAAATGGATACGGGATAAGAAACCGTCAAAAACATGGGCCATTATTTTCCGAAATCAAAGCCGGAAAACTCCTTCTAAGTGAAAAAAAGCCGGAAAACTCATCATCAAAAACGTTTCTAAAATAGAGAAGGGTTGTCTGTCCAGTACCACACAGTTACATTTATAATCTAAATCTACAAACTCTTTTCATTCTTTTGTGAAATTCTAGTTCAGTACTTCAGTTACACACAAGTCACAGTCAGTGCTGTATTGTAGTTTCTGTGTACGGATTTTTCTTTCAGGTGCAAAACATTGATTCATCTTTTTTTTTCATATAGAGGGTAAATGGCTTTTTTTATAAGAGCAGTAAAGTGTTTAATTTGATTGTTGGAGGGAGGTGAGGAAGATAACATTTGTTTTCTATTTCCAGATTCTGTTTGATTGTGATTTTTTTTGGTTCTTAATCTTGTTCACAGAAAGATGGAAAGAGAAGAAAAGTCTGAGTTTGGACCTCGGTATTTTGAGTTAAATACGGGGGCAAAGATGCCATCCGTCGGATTGGGAACGTGGAAAGCTCCTCCGGGTGTCGTCGGAGACGCAGTGATCACAGCAGTCAAGGTTCTTACGACGCCATTAATCTGTAATTTTTATTGTTTTTCTTTTCGTTTTCAGGCAGCTAAAAGTAAATCAGAAGACGAAAATAAAATAAAAAAAAATCTTCATTATTGTTACCGTGCAGGCTGGCTATAGGCATATCGACTGTGCTTATGTGTATGATAACGAAAAGGAGGTAAGATTTACTTTATAATTCCTTGTAAAGGGAAATCGCCCAATTGAAGAATATCAAGTGTGAATGATTTAATTTGTAGAAATATGCGGCAAAGATGTGGTAGAAATATTATCGACACAAATGTATTGTCCATGTTTTTGGTGTCTAATCAATCAGGAACATTCGGTCCATTCCAAATTTGATCGATCTCCTGTGAAAATTAATTTCATCTATTTCGTAACTACAATCCCAACTTTTCTACCTACTGGATGTGATGCAGGTTGGCATGGCTCTGAAGGAGTTATTTTCTACGGGTGTGGTGAAGCGTAGTGAGATGTGGATCACATCCAAGTTATGGTAAATACATGTAATTTTTTTTCTATCCATTTTGATTGATTCTTATTTGATCGTTGGTTTGGTGATTTCTACAAACAATTGGGCCACACAAAATTACTGATCTTTTGATGTTTGATTATTTTCTTACCTGTATTAGATTTACATAATGTATGTACAGGTGTAGTGACCATGCGCCTGAGGACGTTTCCCAGGCACTGAGCAGGAGCTTAGAAGATCTCCAGCTTGACTATGTTGACCTTTATCTTGTATGTCTCTCCATTTCAACTTTGGGAAGTTTGAGATTAATCGCATTGTCTCTGGAACTATTCTATTTTTCTTGTTTCTGGTTATCTGGGAATGTTTTTGGTCACAATCCCAGCCCATGTACCAAAATTTCAGTGAAGGGATTAAACTAAAAAAGAAGGAAAGCATACTAACAAACTGAGGCAAACAGTTGCAGGGTGTAAGATTTGATCTCTTGGAGCATGACACTGTTTTTGTTACAGATACATTGGCCGTTTCGGACCAAGCCGGGATCTCGTGGGTTTGACCCAGAAGTCATGGCTCCTCTGTGCCTTTCAGAGACGTGGACTGCAATGGAGGGATTGTTTGCATCAGGGCAAGCAAGAGCAATCGGGGTGAGCAATTTCTCTACAAAGAAGCTGGAGGACCTGATAAAATATGCAAAGGTGCCGCCTGCTGTGAACCAGGTTGAATGCCACCCTGTCTGGCAGCAACTTGCACTGCACAACTTGTGCAAATCAACCGGTGTTCATCTCTCGGTAAATTTCTGACTGGTTAATTTGGTGTTGGACAGATTGCTGAAACAAACATGTAGAGGGTATGTAATTGCATGAAACAAATTGTGGATGGAATTGTATTTGCAGGCATATTCTCCTTTGGGATCCCCAGGATCATGGATCAAAGGAGAGATTCTGAAGGACCCAACACTGATTGAGATTGCTGAGAAGCTAAACAAATCACCTGCACAAGTGGCTCTACGTTGGGGTATTCAGAGTGGTCACAGTGTGCTTCCAAAGAGCGTAAATGAGTCTAGAATCAAGGAGAATCTCAGTTTATTTGACTGGTGTATTCCTCCAGAGCTCTTCTCCAAATTCTCCAATATCCACCAAGTAAATAATGGCTTTCTCCTTCTATATACGCATATGTGTACGTGTAATTGTTACTAACGATTGCATGGTATTTGGGATATGTTGCAGCAAAGGCTCCTGCGAGGAGAGTTCGCCGTCCATGAAACCTGTAGTCCATACAAGAGTCTCCAGGAACTGTGGGATGGCGAAATATGAGATTAATCTTCCATATTTGCATTACAGAAAGAGATTCTGATGAAGGTTGTTGAATTGACTTCTGGTAACTTTCTTGCGTAAATTTCCTTGCTTCTGATCCCCTAGGAATTGAATCGCTGGGCAAAATGCTATTAGGCCAACGCGCGGTACATGCGAGGAATTTCTGTGAAGTTCAGTCAATTATTCAATTATAGCAGTCAGCTAAGTTATGCCGAAGGATCAGACCCATCTTTGCTCTATGAAGTCCTCGCTCATTTTCTTAAAGAGAGCTTAGCTATGTAGCATAAAACATGCTCATCAATGTGGTGGATTTTGAACCTCAGGCAAAACAAGCCATGAGACGAAGTAAACTTGTGTTATCTTTCTTCACAATTAAATACATATTTCTCTTTTTTACTTAAAAATTCCAGCTCTTTATCGGGACGGTTAGCATTGTCTGTTTGGTATTTTAGTGGTGGTCCGTTCAAGGAATGGTTTAACACTAAAACGGTCTGGATCGATATGTATATGTTCCATATCTCTACGGCAACCAACAGCACTGAGTAGCATGCCGATCTCCTGTGGAAATGAACTCGTTTCCTAGTATTACCTGGTTCTAATTGCCGCCATTTGTACCAAGTAGATAGAAAGCAATTGCAGGCAAAGTCAATTTTCTAGCTCAACAAAATTTGTCCTCCTGCGTTGGGCTGAGAGTTTTGAGAGATGGCACGAAGCATTGACCAGCACAGCCCTCGGCCCACATATGATATAATAAATAATCTTTATTTTTGGGCCATGCCCGCCCAGGTGTGTTAGAGGTCAATTATTACTTGAGATCTTAATATCAATAAAAACAATCTTTTTTTTTTTAAATATATCAAATAAAAGTAAAAATACTGTTCATTCTCTTCCTCCTCCATTCACAATTTACATAGACACACACTCATTGGGTAAATGACTCCACTAAAATAGCCGAAAAAACAGATCGTGTTGGTTACATTGGACCATCAGGGGATGTGAAACTTGTCATCCTCTGCTCTAAGCCTTTGAGGACTTTCAGGTGAGAGAGGTAATGAAGCAGTACTTTTGAAGCTGATCGATCAGTTTAACTCAATATCAAAAATGTTTGTAGGACTGTCAACAAAAAAGGCATTTGGAAAAAACAGGAAATTGCTTTAACAAAACTCTTAGCTTGTCAACTAAAATGTAAAAGAATATGAATGTGGAAAGTGGAAAGCAGAAGATACAAGTTTCTTTGGGTCTGCAAGGCTATTTTATTTAAGTGTTCTAGTACCAGTGCAACCTCCTCCACAAGATAAATGAAACAAAGACAAGAAACGCCTTGTATTTGTTAAGATATCAATCCAAAATACATTTGTAGCACCTTGACCAAGGGTAGAGGAATAACGGAGGAGAACTTCTGAATTTTTACGTTGAATTTTAATTAGGCTGTGTTTGGTTTGAAGGAAAAGGTAGGGAAAGGTAGAAAAATTCATATAAACCTTGTATAAGTTTCACTATCTTTCCTTTCCTTTCTCTATCTTTTCCTTCCAACCAAACACAGCCTAAATAACCACTTGTGGAAAAGAACAGAAAACAATTGGAAGAGAAAATTGGACCTTCGCAGCAACCGACCTTCTGTGGCAAGAGAAGAGAGAGAGAGAGAGCAGGTGAGAGTGAACAGTGAGAATCGTGAACTGATCCGAGACAATGGCAATCCAGCAGCGACGATCTGATCTGCGCTCCTTCAAACGGCGACAGTTCTCTTTCCCCCTCTCTCTCTCTCTTCTCCTCTTTCACTTCCCCTGTTCTGCCACCACCGCTGCAACTTGCAGCGCGGATTTGATAACCTCTCTCTCATTCTCATTCTCTTTCTCGCGGATTTGACAAAGTGTCTCCCTATCTCTCGTTCTCTCTTTCTCGTGGGTTCGATTTCTTCGTCCCACGGTGGTTGGTCGGGTATCATTGCTTGTTTTCAAGTGCTGCTTTCAGCGATGGTGATCATTCTGTCTTTGGATACTTTGTCCCAAATAACAGGCTCTCCCAAATTACGGGTTCTGAAAAAACTTTTAAATCAACTAAACTGCCGATTCTTGTACTTGGTGTAGTGTTTCATGTGTTCTTCTAACTGGTTTAGAAAAAGAATTCATAACAGCTCTACTCCAAACTCAGATGTAGAGAAGAAGAAGAAGAAGAAGAAAGAGTAGGAGGAAAGAGAAAGATAGAGAGGAGGTGAGTTCGTTCGGTGGTCAAAAGGAGGAAGGAGATGAACTGTATTTCCACCATTTTTTAGTATTTTTTCAAAAAAAAGTTACCCTATTCTAAAACTTATGTTAAAAATATTATTTTTATTGATAATAAGACCCAAAAGTTCCCCTTATTCTTAGGCCTGTAAATGGATCGAATTCGAATCGAATCAGGCTAGATTCAAATTCGAAACCGATTATTAACACTAATATTCGAATTCGATTTGATATCCAACGGATATTGAATATTTGAGTTCGAATTCGATTTCGATTATCAAATTGAATATTCGATTCGATTCGCATTCAATCGACGGTAGTGGTGGCCAGTGAGCGGTGATGGCAGTGTGGCGACGATGAAGGAGAGATAGAGAAGATGATGGTTGTCGTCAGTGATGATGGTTGCTGTCGAGACTATTGTCACTGACGATGGCAGTGCAGTGAAGGAGAGATAGAAGAGAAGATGATGGTTGTTGTTGGCGATGGTGGTTGCTGTCAAGACTACTGTCACTTGACCGTTGTCACTAATGTTGCTGTTGGTGATGGTGGTTGCTCGAATGACTACGTTAATGAATCAAGATTTGAAAGAGAAGAGATAGAGGAGAAGATGATTAGATGAGATATTGGAGGGAACTGAAGAGAGGCAGAGGATGAGGGGTGGTGGCCGGTGACCGGTACTTGACTGTTGAGTCGCTGTTGCCATCGGGCGACAGCGATGGCAACAGTGAAGGGAGGATTAGGGTTAGGGTTTGCAAGGAGATGGAGACCGGAGAGAGATAGATCAGAGATTCAAAGAGGTTCAAATGTTTCATGTTTGCTTCATTTTTTTATTTACATTTTTAACCTCCTTTTTAAATTTATATATATGTGGTTCGAATATTTATCAAATCGGATCAATGCATATCCGAATTCGAACGATAATTTAATCGATACAAAGTTAATATTCAAATTCAATCAAAAGTTGCCCTTATTGATAAAGAGATTATTTTGAGACAGATCAATTATTAGAGCATGACGACACTCGACATGGATCCTTGTTCCTGGCCAAAAAATCATATGTATACTAGCATCTAAACCATGACTCGCTTAAAAAATCGCTCAACGGTTTGACTGGAAGCATGGATTAAGTTGCCTGCATATTCATAAACCATAATCTTCGCAGTAAACATGCGGCTGAAACACGTTTGAATACATTCCGTGCATGGCTGCCTTTCACTAAATCAGACCTATTGACATTTTCAGAGACATTGTTCAGACGTTTGTGTTAACATTAAACGAGATCCAACCTCCAAAAAATCCAAATTTTCAGATATCAAACCTGTTTCAGTTTTATCAAACGCCACTTTAGTTTAGATAACGGGTGAATTAATGAACCAACTACTTACAACATCCGACCATACCAAATTGATTGCATTGCACCGTTGAGAAAAGGGCAATTGAAAGAGAGAGCACCACTTTATTCAAGCTTTTGTTTTTATTTCTGATTCATTAGAGGTTACTGATCCCGATCCCTCATCGATACACCTCATCAGTAAAACTTGATTATATTACGGGAAATCGGATTTGGTGCTTATAAAATTGTGTTTACACCGTTTTTACAGCCTTCTTCAACCATGCATTGAGAACATCTTTCCATGAAACATAGAGATATTTTCAATGAACGATTGAAAATACTGTGAGAATAGCATGAACACAATTTTGTGAGGACAGAATCCGACCTCATATTAGGGAATATTATGGGATAAAAGATAAATTTGAGATTAGTTGAATTGAGATCAGATAAAGATAATATTTGTGTTTGAAGTAAATTAAGATGGAAGAGTTTGAGTCAGTGTGGATTTGTTCACCTCATTCTATAAATTGTCATGCAATTCTCATTTAATGCAATGCAATTAATTTAGCCTTCTCTAATATTTTACAGTCTAAAAACGTGATTTTTTTTTTTCTGGATAAGTTGAAGGCTTGAAGCACATATGTGTCGTTCTCTTTGGATTGAAAATTTGCGTAGTTAAGACTGTTAGGGAATCATATCTTAACTGAAAGCCAAATCTCCTTTTTCTTTTTGACTTTTCCCTTGCACCCTTTCTGGGTTCGATGTTACTGCTGGTAAACGATCAAAGAGACCAAACGACAGAGAATCTGTTTCTAGAGCAGTAAGAAGTCGGCACAGTTAGCAACTGCCAAGAAAATACGTACTAGGTTTGACATGAACAGGCCTTAGATGACTTAATACATGGATCATTTTATATTTGAGCAGTACTATGCCACTCTTGAAATACAAGACAAGCCGATAAAAGGACAAACGGTCAAACAGTCATTTTCGGAGCAGTGACTAAAGCAAATGTGCAAGCATACGGACTAATGTTACGTGTAGGAAATAAGGACTGAAGTTCTTGATCGGTTTATGTTTTTGAGACGATTATGATGAACCTTTTTTTTTTTTTGGTAGGGTGCGGAGAGCATTGGGGTTTACGGTCTTGGATCACTTTTGTGACCAAGGTTGTGGGGTCAGAAACAGTCTCTCTGTATATGCAGGGATAGGTTGTGTACATCTGTCCCTTCCCAGACCCCACATTTGAGGGCTCTCTCGAACTGCCCTTTTTATATCTGGATCACACTAATCTCGAATTCAATGTATTGCTGTATGATGGTTTGGGAACAATCAGGAATCCACCATTTGAGGAACCCTACCAAAAAGATGCTCTGTAGCAAAATTTGACAAGGTTAGATCCGAATTGGGAATTTGCAATGTCTCAGGTGGGATCCCATGAATAATGGGGTCGCCCTTCAACTATCAAATTGGTAAAATCCCCTTTTAATAAAGATTAAGACAAACCCCATGAACTTATTATCTTGATGGGAATATGGAATCCTCTTTTTAAGTGTTACTTTTGGCAATAATAATATTTAGGGGACATTCATTTTTGGGATTTTGAGAGGAAGAAAATTGGTCAATGAGATTTACAATCCCATTAACCAAGAAGCTCATGTTCTTTTTTCAGATTTGTAACGATCAGGAAAACAAGTGATACCCATCTCCCAGGTGGATAAATAACATTTCTCATATGGAAAAAAGTTGTTAACACTTGGATGGGACAAAAATAATCCTTTGAGAATAGAATTTTTATGGCCACAATGGTCATTATTTTATTTATCTGAAAAGTAAAAGAACATGAATAAATGCACTTTCTTGCGTAAGTATTTTCTTACCCACATAAGTGCATTTACCCATGTAAATAACTTGCCCAAAGTGAACCTTAATAATACCTACTGCACATCATATTCACATAGTAGAAAACTAACATTTCTCAAAAATCGAATATAAATTGCAATAACATTCTTTCAATTTTCCACTTTTCCACAAGTCGTCTTTCCAGAGATTAGTTCTCTGGAATCTGGATTTTGGCTTACAAAACTCATATTTTCAACCATTTAGGATTGTTTTCCAAATTAAGCAAAACACTAGGAAAATTGGGAATGTAATTCATTTTCTATTGAACATCAATTTCCAACGAAATCATTGGTTTTTTTCTCCAATTTACGTACAAGACCAAACATCAGTTTATAAACTTATCCCCTCTTCAAATGCTCTACCATGACACAACACAGTACAAGGAAAATAGTATCTACATAAATTCCATTGTTCAAAAACATCCAATGCACACCAAAAATCAGTGAGAAACAAAATGAAGCATGATAGAATTCTCCCTCATAAACTAATATACATAGATGGGAAAATTAAAACGAAAACAACTTCAATATCCCCAAACTTCGTTTATCTTTCCCCAGTATTAAAAAGTTTAGAGGTTAGAAGTTGTCAAAGCTTAACCCACTCAGATTAATACACCCCCTGAAAGACATCACTAGAACACCATTCTTTATCAAACACACCCATCCTCTACTGAAGTGCAATTCCTTCTCTATCGAAATCTCCTCTTAATAACCCATCTTTTTCAAAGTGCAACTTTCTTCTCTTACACTGTCAAATACATGTCTGCACTTGAATGCAAACAAGCAAGAGGGTTCCTAGATGCACAGAACAACCATCTCCAAATAGTCATGCATCCTGTTACAGAGCTTGCTTTCGAAGTACTTCAAGAGGCAAAAATAATAAAGATGTATGACCACATCCATGAAAGTATCATATCCAGAAAGAACATAAAATATATGTTTGAAGTTTGTTCTTTAGCCCTTACAAGAAGATGAGCAACTCAGGCTTATGGGAAGAACCATATCTTGATGAAAAGTGCTAGAGCAACTTGCAAAACAAATGATGACACCAACATCAACATAAGATCATTTCCCTGTATGTAAGACTTCAGGTTTAGGGTGACAAAACAAGCTGATGCTACAGAGACAAGAATAATGATGATCCATCGAATTAGCTCGACCGGAATAATCAGAAGAAACTGAAAATCATAAAAAGCTTAATGCATTAGAAATCAAAATAAAATACAAAAATAAATCAGGGGGAAGCTATGAAAGTTGTTCTTCTGTAATTCAGAAAAAGAAAAGAAATAGATATAGGCAATTCAGAAATTAAGGCAATGTGACTATAGTTTTCAAGGTGCCAAGACGAGGCTAGGTGATAGGGGGCACCTTGTTTCCCAGTCACCTAGGCAATGAGATTTTTTTTGAATAAAAACCATGAATCCTAGGGTAATTCCCTAGGTTCCAAAGCAAGCGACAACCATCTTTTACTATTAATTGTCTATAATCTTCACAAAAAAAAGTATAAACTTTATTTAAAACATAGAAAATCAAAATATTCATGAAAAAATGGAAGAAAAGAAGAAATGATGAAAAAAGAAAAGGAAGAAAATCAATGTGTTGATTGGACAAAATTTTGAGTTCTTCCGTGCATATTAGTTTAGGTTTTGAAGTCTTCAAGGGTTTAAGATAGTATACATCTTGATTGAACCCAAACAAATAAGAAAAATAATAAAAAGAAACTAGTATTTTAACTCAAACTGAATAATTTAGTTTATCAATGTTTGTTTTATTATTATAATCTCAAAAAGTTGAGAATATAAAAGTATCCAAGAGCACCACATAAAAAATATATTGACAATTAAGAGAGGCAGCCCTTCATGTGCACCTTATTGCCTAGGTGTCACTGTACATGTTCTACCTCGGTATTACCTGATTATCATTGTTAGGTAGTACCCTAGAGGTAGTCTCTATTCTACATGATAGTGAGTTTTTCTTGTATCATTTGGTGTGAACTCATGAAAACCAAATAACCCAGGTCTATGTACTTATGCAAAGAGACTTCTAGAGAAAATAAGAATAATCTAGATGAAGAAACTTCTAGATTCCAGCCCACCCAAACTCTATAAATAGGGGTCTCTGTACCCATTTTGGAGAGACCCTTTTGGACCTTCTTGATCCATTGCACCCATGCTAGCCCCTTTCCTCTCTCTTCATTCTTCTCCTCTGCAACCAGCAGCCTTCTTCATCTTCCCTTGCCAGAATTCCATCTCTAGTGAACTACATTGGCCTAATCCCTCGCCAGAGGGTATGTAGATAGCCCCTCCGGGGGTCTGGCCACTGCTCTTTTCCTCCATTTTCCTCCCCTTCCTCTGTTGAAACCATCAACAAATTCCTCAGATTTCATGGTACAGACCACCTTCACGCACATAGCCTTACAATTAGCATGTTTGCTTTTAATTGTAGGGTTACAAGAAAGTGTTGTGATCATGTGAGCTCATTGGAACCAAATCACCTAGGCATGTACTCGTTTAGTGGTTTGGTTTTTCATTTGATTGATAACATGCACATGTTTTATTGGAGGGTTGCATGAAAGTGTTGTGGTAGTGTGAACTCATCATTCAATGTGTTAGGCTACCTTGATATTTCTAAATTGTCAAAGTAAGGCAGTAGACCCTAGAGGCAATTTCTATTTTTTTATATGTTAGCAGGTTGCTAGTATATTATTTAGGGTAGCAACAGCACAATGCACTTACTGGGTGATTTTGGTTTTTCATATGGTTGATAGCATGTCATGTTTTATTGGAGGGTCAAAATAAAGTGTTGCAACCATGTGAACTCATTGCTCCAGATGTTAAGCTATCTTTGTATTTCTTGATTGCCAAAGGGAATGGGGCATAGTTTTCAAGGCGAGGTTAGGTGATGGTTTTTTTTTAATAAAACTCATCTTTTACTATTAATTGTTGTCTAGTCACCTAGGTGATGGATTTTACGGAATAAAATCCATGAATCTTGGGGTAATTCCTTAGGTTCTATAATAAGCAACAACCATCTTTCGCTATTAATTGTTTATAATCTTCACAAAAAATGCATGAGCTTCATTTGAAACATAGAAAATCAACATATTCATGAAAATAATGGAAGAAAAGAAATTTCAGAAAATAGAGGGGTTGAACCTCAATTTTTGTCCTAGGAAAAGGCAAAGAAAAGAAAAGAAAAGAAAAGAACGGGTGAAAGAAAGAAACTAGTATGATGATGATGATTGGATAAAATTTTGAGTTTTTCCATGCTTATAAATTTTTGACTTCAAGTTTTGAAGTCTTTGAAGTTTCAAGACAGTATACATGTTGATTGAACTTTCATGAATCAGTAAAGTAAATGCGAATGATATGGATGTCACAGTCAAAAGATAGGAATGGCTTACAGAGGTGGGAATAAAGATGAAGAGGGAATATCCCCACATGCACCAAAAGCGCACAAGGCTTGCACTTATTCCAAGATACTGAAGCAAGAAGTAAAATGCTGTTGGCACCACAAGCACATAACCATACACTGTGCATGCTGCCACACTTACATAACTGACATCAAAGCTCCATGACGTGCTATGATTAGTCTGTTTGTGTATCAGGTAGGTTGCACAATTACCAAGTGAAGCAAGCAAAAAGACCAAAGTGGCAGAGATCCAAATCAGCCCATAACTGGAGTCACCAAAATGTACCATCATTGCAAAACATGTATTAGAATTAGGAATGCTATGGGGAAGAAATGATTTGCAAAGGCTCTAATCTTTGAACCAGAAAACAAGTTTCCATAACCAATAGAGGGAAAAAAGTTCCTCAAACCATGGTTCAAAATTTCCCTAAAACTTTCACTTTTCCAAGGGGCAAAATAAAAAACCCCTAGAGTAAAAAAATCAAATATTTCTCAATATTTTCCTGATATTTCAAAAATTCCAATTTAGCAAAATTTGCAATTTATTGTGCACAAACATTCTAAGCTTTGATGAAATATAGAAGAAATTCCATTATAACCAAAATCAATCGGAAACAATGATGAGACATAGGAAGCATAAGATCAATATTTTTGCATAAATTTCTTTATAAGAAACTGTAAATAGAAATTTTGTTAATAAAAAACAATCATTTCTTGCTGTTCAAAAGCAGAGCAGAAAGTTGCAAGAACAGAATTTTGCTGACAAGTCCTAGTTTTTTTAATTATACTTTACAAGTCTCCCCACAACCCAGGTGATCCCCACAAAAGAAATTAATTCCCTTGAGACCCCAAAACTTCCTAAGGAATTAGCCAAGTTATTTATTGCAATGGAAATCCACCTGCACCTGGTCATAGTGGAGACTTGGGATCGAGTCTCGCCTGCACCTGGGTTAGGGGGGTTATGGGCTGGGGGATGGGCTACCCCCCGGGCGTTGTGTAGCCCTTCAGAAGATATAAAAAAAAACGTCTGGACTGATCCCCATCATCTTTCCCAAGCTTAAAAGAACACAACCCTATCAAGTTAAAGGCATTATACTATTAATAAAGATCTGTATTAAGACAATACAAGTGGTGAATCCTTGTCACCTCACATTTGCTTCCTTTGCCTAGCAAGTGGTGAATCCCTATCTCTTTTGTTGCTTTCTTGTTCTTTTGCACTTGGTATTTGAGAATTCTGTTGTTCTCTTTTTGGTTGCAGGTGGGTCTCTCCACAGGATGTAGCGAGCCTATTCAGCCCAAGTTTCCTACGACAACCAAGAAAGAGAGGAAGAATTATGTAGAAAGCAAATCGGGTGCAGTAGTGTGGACTATCTGGGAGGAAAGAAATAGGAGAACCTTCAATGAGAAAAGTAGATCTAAAGGGGAAATATGTGAAGCTATAAAAGTTAGAGCAACACACTGGATAGACTCTTGACATATTCAAAGACTTCTCAGCGAATGACATTATAGGAGCTTGGACTGATTCAACTGAAGTGGTAGCTCCCAGTAACTAATAAAGTGAAACTAAATTTTGATGGGGAAAGTGCTGGCTATGTTCTCAGGACCCCTGGGGTTGGGAGATTCCTTGAGAGCTGAGCTGATGGCGCTGTTGGAAGTAGAGGGAGATTCAAAGCTGATCATGTCTTGGGCCAGAAATAAACAGCTTGTGCCTTGGATCTATAGGCATGAGTTCAGGGAAATAGAAAGCATTACACAAAAACTGAACATCACTTTCAATTGAGTAAGGACTGCAAATGGGATAGCCAATACTCTAGCAAAACAAGGGGTATATAGACAACAGTTGTTTTGGGCGCTGGTGTAACAGTTGTAATCAGTTGGGAGTGGAACTGCTTCATTTGTAATAACCAGAGTTAACATCATTTAATAAAATCTTAAATTTCTTTTGGTAAAAAAAAATACAAGTCTTCAGCTGTAATCCATGTGCATTCAGAAAGAAGTCTACTTCACAAGAAACTTTTCACAACCCCCACTTTCTGTAAAAATCAGCTTCACATCAAGGATATCTTCAGGCACATCAGTAGATGGAACCAAAGGCAGTTTAGATGTTCTTAGTTTCCCTAGGCTCCCACCAAAAAAAAAAAAAAAACTCATAATTTTCTCTTTTTTTACCACCATTGAGGAAACCCTAAACACTGAGAGGTAGTATGTGGGGTCGGCTATATGATCCTGTTTTGTCAATCCATTTTGTTCAATTCCATATCAATTGTTAAATTATGGGCACTTAAATCATTTCATATTACTTCCACCCAAGTCCTTTTCAATCTTCCAACTCTGTCCCTAGTTCTTCTATCCCCTTCAACTTGTAATTATGAAGGTTTTCCTTTGCTGTACAAAATTATAGCACCAGGGTGGGTAGGTGGGTTCCATATTCCTACAAACTGGGTGTACCCATCCAGGGAAGGTATGGGTTTGCCTAAAGCTAGAGGTGTCAATTGGACGGATTTGGTCCAACCTGATCCAGTCCAATGTGAGTCCACTTATAAATGGACTGGAGCCAATCCAGTCCAAATCCAATACAAACCAAATCCAATCCAATCCATTAAAATGTAAATGGATTGGATTGGATCCAATCCAAACCGAATGAAATATCAAAAATTATATAAAAGCACTTTTAGCATTGAAAAAGCACTTTTGTAAAAGTACTTTGATAAAAATATTTTCAAAAAAGTGCTTTTACAAAAGCACTTTATTGAAAGTTCTTCAGAAAAGTGCTTTTGTAGAAGTGCTTTGTAAAAGTACTTTTGTTAAAGTGCTTTCATAAAAGTACTTTTGTTAAAGTGCTTTCGTAAAAGTACTTTTGTTAAAGTGCTTTCGTAAAAGTTCTTTCATAAAAGTGATTTTCTAAAAGTGCTTTCATAAAAGTACTTCTATAAAAGTGATTTCGTAAAAGTACTTCCATAAAAGTTTTTTTGTAAAAGTGATTTCATAAAAGTACTTTCGTGTATACTTTTATAAAAGTGCTTTCATAAAAGTACTTTTTTGTAAAAGTGCTTTTATTAGTGATTTTGTAAAAGTGCTTTTATAAAACTACTTCTGTAAAAGTCTTTCATAAAAGTACTTTTGTAAAAATGCTTTTGTAAAATTATTTTTATAAAAGTGCTTTCGTAAAAATACTTTTCATAAAATTACTTTTATAAAAGTGCTTTTATAAAAATGTTTTTGTAAAAGTGCTTTCGTAAAAGTACTTTCATAAAAGTGATTTTATTCTGTTTTCAGTTTTGATTGATTTCAAATTGGACAAGGGTTTGGCCTCATGATTGTATTATTGGAAATTTGGTTTAGGTCTAATTCAAGCCAATAAGAATATGGACCAATTTATTTTGGATTGGTCCAATCCAATAATTATAATGGACCATCCAAATCCGATTTGATAAGGTTTGGATCAGATTGGATCCAAACCAAAACCAGTCGACTGACACCCCTACCTAAAGCTATGTTAGCTGGATACAGCTGGATATGGTATCATATACAAAATTACACTAAAAATTGGAATATCCAAAACAATATGGCACCCTTGTACAGGTATGAAGGCATCATAAGCCTAAAGCCCTTTCTATTTTACAAACTGGAATTTTGTCCACCATTTCCAAATTTCCTGACTTTTAAGATATATGTAGCACACTTTCTTAGCAACTTGTCTTTTTGTTTAATCATTTAACATTCATGTGTTTTCATAAAAATATCTGTCTTTCCATTAACTTAAACTAGCTTAATATGACTTCCATCAATCAAGCTAGTGGAAAATCTTTTCTTTCCCCTTGACTGGCAACTTCTGGTGTCAAATCTCTTACAATGCCCTCCCTATTTGCACTTGATTAGTTAAACCAAAATGGAAATAGATTCGTTTATTAGGGTTTCAAATTGGCATAGAAAAATAAACCAAATAGAATATAGATGAAGGCTTAAGCTCTTCAAGGAAATTTTCACAATACATGTAAAAATCAAATTAGAAAGTTTAACCAAATAATAAATTAATAATAATAATAATGATGTGTTTCTTCCAAATATTAGCTAAAGAAATGTGAAACTCACAGATCAGGATTAGCCTCAATCTTGTCAAAAAAATTTCCACTGGTAGGATTCATTGAACCGATAATTCTGTCAACAACAATATCCGCATCCACATTGAAATACTGTGTATATGAGGAGATGCTAAAAAGTCCCTTCCAATTGTTTGTCGCTTGTTGTTCGTCTCCCCCTGTGTAGACAAATAGGTCACAATAAAGAAAAGGAAGAACTAATGAATAATATAAGCAGTGATTGCAATAAACTTCAAATGCATGTTTCTCAATCCATTTGGGCAATATCATGCATTCATGCTGAACCTTCTAGAAATGGTCTTAGAAAGAATTTGGTACAAGATGTTGCATAAGCTAATAGGCTTAAACTGTCCAAAATGACTTGGATTTTCATTTCCTAGAATGAGTGAAAAAAGGAGAACACCATGTGCCAATGATGACCGCAATGCTACTGGCCACCAGCCTATTCTCTTTCTGGAAGGCTTACCTGGAGTTAAAAGATGGCCAAGTTACAGCTGCCAATGACTCATTAGGAAGGTTTGAGAGAGTCACTGAATACTTGTACCCCTGTTCATGTGCCAAGCCTTCTTGTTGGGCCTTCGGATATAGTTTTGGCTGGTTCTTTTTCATGTCAACCCAGTGAGAAGGTTTGGTGTGGCCACAAGGCTGCCCAATAACCTCAACAGAGTGCCAACCCCAGTCCCATCAAAAACACGAGGCACCTCACTGCACCCTGCCAGAGGATCACCATATATGGATATATCCAAAGACAATACCAGGGTAACCTTCTAGTACTAATCTCTCCGTATCAAGAGAATGGGAAAGACTGATCTCCCAGCATGACAGTCTTCTCTAAATAAACAAAGCAACTTTTTTACTCCAATTACCTCCATATTATAATCAAACAAACTACTCTATCCAAGCACCTAGAAACCTTGAAATTTAAAAATAATCCTCCAATCTATGAAACCCTGATAGGAAGTACCCATGGAAAATGATCCTACAACATCACCTCAATCCAAGCATGGCCTTTGGGGGTATTAGTATACACCTTAGGCTCAAAAAAGAGAACATTAATTGGTGATACCTACAATTGGTTCCAACAACAGAATCTCATCCCTGGCTCTGTACATCATCCCAATGCTCAATTACTGGCATCTCCAATTCGGGGTGCTCATGGTTCGATTAACCGGTAGTACCAATTTTTGGAAAACTGGTAACCGAAGCTGATTGGTTTAGTTTGTCGTTTTTAGGGTTTTTTGACTTTATAAAATATATTGTAAATAAATATATAAATATATAATAAAAAATAAGAAATACATATAAAACATTATATTATAAATAATAAATAATATATTATATATTATAAATAATAAAATATATATATTATAAAAAATATATATAATAATAAATATATAAATAATATATAATAGACATAAATATATGAATAATATATATATACCGGTCGGTTCAGTTAACCACCGGTTTTTTATATTGGTTAACTGATTAACCGGAATTTTCGGTTTGGTTTGGTTTTTCGGTTTTTCTTGCTCACCCCAATCTCCAGTAGTTCCCAATGTTATGGACAAAAAATAAACTTCCTTAAGCAGGCTCCAAATATCGATACAATTCAATACGCTGGATGGGGCATATCAGAATTTTGAAGAGAGAGCTTATATTTTTTTAGATTTTTTTTTCAAACATGTTCAGGGGAGTTGGTATAATGCCTGGCTGCCCCCCTGAAACTGATTAAACCCAAAACTCTTTGTATTTCGCGTATCAGTGACCCACTGATGCGATACATATCGGCCACTACGGATTGATACATTGTGAAATATTGATCCTTGCCAAGCCCACAGAGAAACCTCTAACATTTCTTCATGTTCAACAAAGACAGAGACTATGGACCATGGTTGATTGCATCCAAGATGTGTTTCCTCTATCATAAAACAGCTTGTATCTAAGATGGGGTGACAACTCACTTTTATGCCCATCTCTACTTTCTGTACCAACAACATTCTGGCCATGTTTGGGAGTGCTTCTGTTAAAAATAAGTGCTTATTGAATAAATGCTTAAAAACAAGTGCCCATCTCCCTCTCTCTCTCTCTCTCTCTCTCTCTCTCTCCTTCATCTCCTCAAGTCAACCTCACCTCATCATTTGGTCTTTTTTCTCAGGCACCACTTCACTCCCCATTTTCTAACCCCCCTACAACAACGCACATGCACTCTCTCCCTCTTTTTCATCTGAATACTCCTATATAATCACCACTCAGTCTCATCGTCCCCTCCCCATGGGAAGTTTGAACATGAAGGTCCATCAGCTTCTACGTGGGCTTTGGGAGAATGAACCCTCCCTCACACTTGGCTGCAAGCGCCTACGGCCGCTTATACCCAAGCTTACAAATGGATGAGAAGCGGCAACCTGTTCGGGTAACAGATGCAAGTTATCACTATATACTTCACTAAATCATGTTCAGGTAAGAGAAAGCCTGCAGCATTTGTCCAACAACCTGTTTAGGACAACCTATTGATGGATATGTCGCCATTCTGGTCCAGGAAGTCACCGGCAGTGCCCAACGTTTTTTATGCTGAAAGGGTATAACCAGTATTCTGAAAGTTGACCGGGGACAATTCTGGAGGAAAAAATTGAATAAGTGCTTATTGTTTAATCACTTAAAAAAAGCTGGAAATTTGGGCTTAAAAAATAAGCCCTTATTTTTAAAATAAGCACTTATTTTGGGCTTATTTACCAAATACCAATAAGTGCTTAATGATGTGGTCCCGGCCCAAATAAGCACTTATTTTTAAGCACTTCCAAACATCCTGTAAAAGCCATTCACTGCAACCACCTTTCTTAGATGACAAAAAACCTCAAACCCTAATCCACTTGTCATGTTTTAATTTCCAAAAAGAGTTATAAACCTGAAAATAGTTACTTTCCTAATTTAATCCCCCACTCGCTGATTAAAAAATGAAAGAAAAAAAAAGGATTTCATCCATGTCCAGTAAGATGCATGTTGACTAATACCACCTAACCAACTGGGAACTTCAACACTTCTCAATTTGGTCATTGATAAGTGAAGCAAAAAAAAAGTTTTTTTTTTTTTGCTAGTTTAACAGAGTAGTGATTAAGCAGTGGATGAAGAACAAGCTTGCCACTCAACTTTACAATTAGTGCATTAATTTTAAAATTAGTAGAGTTTTTTTTATCAATAACAGAGAAATTAGTAGAGTTATTTCAAAGGTTGGTTTTTCATCCATAACAATTATAAACCTGCATCTAAGATATATTAGTTTAATCCGTGATTTTTTTGATAGATAATGGTAATTTTATTAATTAGAATAAAAACACAGTATACATCATACAACTCCCCACAAAGAGGCATGAGGTGCAGCCTCCAAACTACATCATAAAGCTTACAAGTGAGCCCAAAAGAGCTGATTCCTATGTACTCCTTGTTTGGCTAGGAAATTTGCCAGCCCATTTGCTGATCTTCTTTCCCATTGAACTGTGACTGAGATTTCTTTTATTAAATTCTCCAGATAATAGAAATTATTATACAATGACATGTAATCTGAGCACTGATCATAACAAGAGCAACATACCATTCAGGCTTCCTAGAGATTGATACCCATGCCCTCTATCAGCTCCAATAGCAGGAGGAAATATTTGCAAGTTTGCTTCAGGAACTACATAAAAGTTAAAATAAACAAAGGACGAGGTAAAAGAAATTGCATTATTCAAGTGTAAATATAATTTATCAAAAAAAAGTGTAAATATAAAGAGGGCAAAGAAGAAAGAAGAAAAGAAAGGAACTGTTCCAAAACAATTATAAGTTAGAATAATACCTTCATAATTAGTTGTTTTCTTCTCCTCACTTACTACAGCCTGGGGACAGTAACAATGGTTCAAAACGAATAAAAAGATGGGAAAAAACAAGACACGGACAGACAAGCAATATGTATTATGTACATATGAAAGCTCACAGTTGAGCATAACTAAACTAATATCCTTCAGTAAATAAAAAGAAAATATTCCAGAAGCTAATAGAAGTGACAATGATGATAACAACATATTTCCAAGTATAAGGAATGTACTGACAGTCATTCTACATTGCAAACTTCCTTTATATTTGTCATTTCTCTAAATGCAATCTTCTTGTACTTAATTAGCAAAAAAATAAAGTAGAAAAAAAAAAGAAAAAGAAGTTTGGTGAGGCAGCTTTTACCATATGTCAAGTACACATTTTCATGTAACCAATGCATTAGGTATCCTAGAGCTTTTTCTATGGATGAAAATTCATAAATTTCACAATTGAAGCCCAAATTAGACAATAGACAAAATAACTTATCACATACTGCAGAACAAACACCAAATAACTTGTCAAAACTCAAAAGCTCTGCTAACTAAACTGCACTGAATGAAAATTGTCAACAGCTTGAAGGATGTTAGACCTTCATAATTTTTCATTCACATTCTTATGCAATGCAAATACATGACTGTTACACCATACACCTACTACAGTTCCCTGTTGCATTTCAAGCAATAATTGATCTACTTCAGAAATCTAGGAGAAGTGCTTCACATATACTTCAACTAAGCCCTGTCCAAACTTATGGAATCAACTACATGAATCCTGTTCAGACAGTCCACACTGTTTAGTGTCATGTTCATTGTTAAATTATTGGCCCTCAAGTCATATCTCACTACTCCAATCCATGTCCTTTTGGCCTGCCCCTACTAGCTCTTCTAGACCCTTGAACTTGCAAAAGATATTTTCTTCTCTCACTGGTGCTGCAGATGGTTTTTTCTCCGTGTGCCCAAACCATCCTAGTCTACTTTCCCTCATTTCATCACATATTTGGGTTACTCCTACATTCTTATGGATATGTTCATTTTTATCCTATCCATTCCTTTTTTTTGTAAGTAAAAGTAAGAATTTATTAAAGAACAATAAAAATAGGCAGTACAAGCATCCCCACAGAGAGGCACGAGGTGCTACCTCTCATATATCAAGCAAATTACAATTGACAATTATATCTGAGCCCAATACAAATTATCCCTATTTACCCCTGGTTTAGCTAACACATCTGCCATAGCATTAACCATTCTCCTGACCCAAAGTATTCTCAAATTCATTTTTCTGGTTAGCCATTTAAAATTCTTTATCTCATCCCTAAAGCACCAGGCTATAGACTCTAGATCCTTCAGCCATCCTACCACCAATTTTGAGTCCCCTTCAATCTCCACATTTATCAAGCCCAAATCACTTGCGATCCATACCCCTTTCAAAGCAGCAAGCAGTTCTGCCCTAATAGACCCCACTCTCACTTGACTGGAGAATAATGCAATGATATTTCCTTCTTCGTCTCTCAATTCCCCTCCTATGCCTTAAGGGCCAAGGTTGCCTTGACTGCTCCCATCAAAGTTTAGTTTAACGAAATTTCCAAGTCGGGGGCTTCCACATTATATTTACTTCTTTTATGGAAGAACTTCTAGCCACCACTTCCCAGTTTCTCCAAATATCATCAAAAGACAATGCAAGAAAGAATCCAAGGTCCTAATCTAGTGTATCATCCTTACCATTATACAATCTCTTATCGCTTCTTTACTTCTCGCCTTTCTTGAGAAGATTCTATTGTTTCGTTCTTCCCAAAGAGTCCATATTACCGTTGCTCTTGCACGTCTCCACATAATCCTTCCCCTTCTTTTAGGCCAGACAAAGGTAGAAGGGTCAAAAAGCTCGTTTACCTCCATTGGTAAGGTCCACCTGCACCCAAACAAAGATAAAAAAAACATTCCCATATATATGCAGCAAAAGGGCAGGATATTAGTAAGTGATAGGTCTTCTTTTTTGTAACATGTCTAGAGTGTAAATCTTCCCATGATACACTTCCCAACAAAAAGCTCCTACTTTGGTTGGAATAGGCCCACCAAACGTCCTTAGCAAGGAAAGGCTGAGAAGGAGAAGACAAACAAAGAGACTCAAAGAAAGAAGCACAAGAAAAGCAACCCTTCGGGTGAGGAATCCAAATACATCTACATGGTTTGGAAGGATCCAAGCAAACAGAATCAAGAAGTTGCAACAGCCCATTGAGCTCGACAAGTTCGGCATCCCTCAGCCCTCTTCGGAACCCAAAATCCCAATTATGAGCCAAAGGAAGAATATGAGAAGCAATAAATTCCAAGACATTTGTTTTTGTACAAAGACATAGAGTACAGAGAGGGGAACAGATCCTTAGGAGTAGAAGAACCAACCCAAACATCTTCCCAAAATTTGACAGCATCCCTAAAACACACATCATACCTAATGAAAATAAGAAACTAATGAAGAATACTATGAATAGCTTTCCAAGACCCAAGGTGAAGGAAGAGTAACCCGTCAAGACACTCCTACATCCCATCCAGAATTCAGCCAGGCATGAATGCTAGCCATCACTTCATGCCACAAACTATCCCTCTCCAAAGGCCACCGCCAAATCCATTTACCTAACAGTGCTAATTCTTCTTGTCTACATTACCCAAACTCAAACCTCCCTCCTATCAGCCTTTAATCACTATCTCCCATCTCACTAAATGATCGTTTTTCTCCTCCCTGGTTCCCATAAAAAATCTCTCATTACCTTTTCAATCTTCCTAGCCTCCTTTTGTGGAATCCTTAATACTGACAAATAATATAACGAAAATTTTGCCAAGGTTGACCCAATCAAAGTGATTCTACCATCCAATGAGATGTAACTCTTCTTCATTCTTCCACACTGCTAATCTTTTTGCACACCTTTCTAGAATTGGATTCCAAAATCTACTCTCCTTGGGATTAACACCTAAAAAGAGCCCCAAATAGGTCAAAGACCAACTGGAAATGGAACACTCAAGACTCTTTGATATAGCTTCTAATTCTCTTTCCTCCAAATTAATCCCAAAAATGCAACTCTTTTCAAAATTGACTTTCATATTTGAAACACCTTCAAATGTCTTCACCAACCCCATCAAAATTGATTTTTATCCTGTCCTTTCTAGTTTTTCCACTCATCCATCTCAACATTCGCATTTCTGCTATGCTCACTTTTTAGAAAAGTGCTACACAAATAATTAGTTTTTCCACTCATCCATCTCAACATTTTTCAAGTAATTCTTTACAGAGAATAAACTTTTCAAATACTAAGTCATTCATCATTGATGAACCATCAAATTGATTTATAAACTCTGCTTGGAGACACTTTTATTTGGTATACAAGTAGAAGGCTTAAAAGACGCTACGGGAAGAATGCCTCCAGGCATCTTCAAAAAGGATTTGGGAGACCTAAGTCCATGGCCAGCCTCTCCAGATCATATCATGAACCCCATGTCCCAAGTTGACAATGCAATCAGTAGCTTGGTTTCCCTCTCTTAAAGTGAGGATAAATTTGAAATGAATAGGGTACGAATGATGAAATCAGTCAATGTTCGCTTTTCTGTTGATGCAGCTTATCACAAGTTTAGAATCACCTTCCCTCCAACAATTGCTGAAACCCATGTCTTGTCATTGAAGTTCAAGTCTTTATCCAATAAAACCACTACCTTTTCCACCCAAGTCTCTGTCATGTTAATGTGGTCCTTCCTAAGCAAAGAGTTTTGCTGCAAGCATGCTCTTCATGGTGGCTCCTTGAAAGATATCCAATAGAAGTATCACCCTCACTGCTAACTGATGCATCGGAATTGATCTTGACTTGACTGGGTTGTGGTGGAATATGTGAAACACAGATCATACGCTTTTGGTGTAGGAATGTTCTTGGGTAGACACACCATTTTCTACATAACCCACCATCTCTATTGAATCATTCTCAATCACGCTGTCTGGCATTGGGTTAATATTGTTGAAAAATTTAGTTGTTTCTCTGTTTTTAAATTTGCTAGAGAACATGTTACTTTTTCCAAGTTCATCTCATAGTTGTCAAGCAGCCCATGCAATGGGGTACCTAGGTGTTACTTATCAAAAAAAGGGTGACTAGGTGCTGGCTAGACAATGAGAATTTTATAAAATTATAAAAAAAAAGAAACGGTTAGTTCCCTTTGTTATATACCAATTAAATTGAAAAAAAAGCAATTTTTTTATCAGTAAATATGTGTTTTATTAAGATTCAGATTCAGATTGCAAACATTTTATAAAATTTGACGATGACACTGTCTCGATGCCCCTTGTTTTGCTAATCCATCAGCTAGCCCATTTTCACTTCTACGGACCCATTTAAATTCAGCCTCAACCTCMTTGATTACTTAGAGACCTTTGCACCAATTGCAAAGATGACTTCTGTTCGGATACTTCTTTCCCTTGCTGCCACATACTCTTGGCCCCTATTTCTCTTGTTGCCATATACTAAATGGAGATCTGCAAGAGGAAGTGTATATGGATCTTCCTGCTGGTTTCTACAGTGATGCTGAAAAGGGAAAGGTATGCAGACTTAAGAAGTCACTTTATGGTTTAAAGCAGTCACCCAGAGCATGGTTTGACAGGTTCAGGAAGGCCTTGGTTGCTTTTGGCTACACTCAGACTCAACCTGACCATACTTTGTTTGTGAAGCGGAGGGGATCCTTGGTGTCAGTCCTAATTGTCTATGTGGATGATATTGTTGTCACAAGGAATGACCTACGGGAGATTGACAGTTTGAAGAAGAATCTACACAGGGAATTTGAAACTAAGGATCTTGGAGAGCTTAGGTATTTCTTGGGCATTGAAGTTGCAAGATCAAAAGATGGAATCTTTATTTCTCAAATGAAGTATGTTCTGGATCTTCTACAAGAAACATGGAAGCTTGGAACAAAGACAGTCAGTACTCCTATTGATCATAATCACAAAATTAATGCATCAAAAGGTGAGTTGGTAAAGGACATTGGGAGATATCAGAGAC